TATACATATACATATATATACATATAAATATATATATATATACATATACATATATATATATATATTTATATATATATATACATATACATATACATATACATATATATATATATATATTTATATATACATATACATATATGTATATGTATATATGTATATGTATATGTATATATATACATATATACATATACATATATGTATATGTATATATGTATATGTATATATATATATATACATATACATATATGTATATATGTATATGTATATGTATATATGTATATACATATATACATATACATATATATATACATATATATATATACATATACATATAGACATATACATATACATATATACATATACATATATATGTGTGTATATATATACAACAACAATATAAAATGATAAATGTCAAAATATAATAAGCAAAACAATTGTGTGTCAAGTCATACGTGTCATCACTCACATGATTGGCTTAGTAGGCACCTATGACTAGTAGTCTTATGGTAGTACCGCCTAGATTGGGTGCTGATACCACCATTTGTCATTCTAATAAGTGATGGTACTGCCATTACCCCGGAAATCCGGAATGAGATCTTTTTTTACTCTATTTTTGAAGTAATTTATGGTCTATAAATACCTCACTCTTTCCTGCTTGAGAAAGGAAGAAAAGTGAACAAAAAACCTAGTGATTATGAGTTGGAAATTTTAAAAAAATGCTTACTATCCCCCTTATCCTCTTTTAAGTTTTGGGTTTATTCTAAGAGAGATGTGAGACTGGTAAAGGTTATAAATAGAAAGAGTTATAAATAGGATAGTTGGTTTTTGCCCATTGAAAAAAGATCATTAGTAAATACTAGTGGCCTCGATAGAAGAGAAATCGGGAGTGGACGTAAGTCACAATGACCGAACCCCCCCCTATAAACTCATTATGCACTTTCTTTCTACTTTTCATTATCATTACTTATTTATTCAATTGTCTACTACTCTCACTTTCTAAGTATAACACTATTTTTTATATGATTTTATAATTTAAAAATTTTAACCTGAGATATTTATGAAAGCACTAATTCATCCCCTCCCCTAGTGTCGATACTGTCCTAATAGTTAGTAGTTCGTAATGAAGTAATAAAGTCTCTTGTGAAGCCGATGAGGTGATTAGCTATAAGTCTTTTGGTATTAGGCATATCCTCTCAAATATATCATAAAACAAGATGTCAATGGAAATCACAAGTGCATTGTTGCGCTCAGGATTTAGGTAATTTGCTTATTCTTGTCTGATGTTGATGCCCACCTAATTAGAGTCTTTTTGCTTGTTGCTCTCATACATAAGACTTTTGAGTAGACAAACTACTGCCCACAGTAGGCCCACTAATAATTACATCAACTTGTTATTCAATGGTCCCTGAGGTTATTGTGAAATCTAATAAACCCTAAGGATAAATTTATTGAGGTGTCCTCTTTGAATTAATTCTTTAATTTGCTCGTTTAGGGTATAATAGTCATCAATGTCATATTCACGATCTTGATGAAAATGATAATTCTTCAACATATCCCTCCATGATGATGATGCCCTAAGAGGATAAGGGGGCATGCAACAACCCCTTTTCCTAATTTTGTATGAATACCTTAGTGTGGAAAGCATTAAGCAGCACAAAGTATCGCTACAGAAAAATCTAATCAATCCTCGATCTATTATTCCGAGGCTTTTCAATAGGGTTTTGGCACTATGACTTTTCTTCCTTTGTCAGTTTTTTCAATTTAGTCTTTTTTTTCTAGCAATGACTGATTCCACAACAATGTGACAATTGGCCTATTGCAATAATTTTAAAAAAGTCACTAGAGGTCAAATAATGACTTTGTAAAAGAACCTTGAGGAATAGAGGCCACTAATATGAGCAATCGAACTTCCTCATTGAATCTCCTTATGTAGCTCTTCAATGGTTCTTTTTCTGCTCATCGAATGGCAAGCATAGTAGTAGTTGGCTTCTTTGAGTTTATAGTTGACAAAATTGAGTTTGAATTCTTTTGCGGGTTGATTGAAGAATAAAATCAACTCTAGTGGAAGTTTGGTAAACCACTCCCGTGTCACATCTCTTAGCATTGTGAGAAAGGTTCGACACACGAGGAAGTCCATAGTCCCATAGTGTCATTTCAGAGTAGAACACTATAATGTGCTTTGAGGGGTCAAACTTTTCATCAAACAAGAGAAGCAACTAGAGGTGGAGTTGAACACTAGTGTGTGGGTAGCTAAAAACCCTAAGGAATTGGTTTGTCATTTATGTCCTTCACAAAGAGGGATAGTAAGTAGGACTCCACCTCTAGTTGCTTCTCTTGTTCGATCTCCATCCAAATGTCCTCGAGATGATCATGAACTTTAGCTAGAATTTTAGCCAATTGTGCAATCGATTCATTAGGGATTTTGGGCTTTGGTGGGGAGATTTGATTTTGGGCTAATGGAGGAGAATGTATATCTTGTTGCATTCGAGATTCAATTGCAAGACTTAGAATTCGAAGGGGTGGTGGAACTATAGTTTCGATCATTCTAGTTAAACCCTACATATTGACCAACACCCCAAGTTGTCTCTTAATAGGGATCATTGATACTGGGGGGTTCGACAAAGGGGTGTTCAATGATATTGGACACGATCCATTCAGGGTTTGGGTCCTCGAGGTTTGATCGAGACCACCTTGTGAAATTCCCTTATGGTATATTGATTGACCCACCTTTTACTGTCAAAATATTAGAACAAGTTTTTGTTGTCCAAGTTGAAAGCTGATTCGAATCCAACTTAGTTTCTTTTTCTCAAGATGAATTCCTCCGATTGTCATCCAATTATACAAAAAATACATTGAGGTGCTCTCGACAATGCCCCTCTGAAGCTTCAGTTAATTGATGAGTCGAATAAGTTGGACAAATTGGACTTAGAATATTCAGTGTGATGAGACATACCTGTGAGTCCTCTTTTATAGGGATGCTTGGAATCATTACATTTGCTTATTGCATAGCTCATACAATAATGGGGTGGTGGGACTCGACCATAACTGCTATTAGCTTGTGTCGAATTATCTCCTCCACGTAACATTCATCAGGTGTAGCTAATTGGTTTCACCCTACAAGACATCTATGTGATATTGAAGAGGTGAAGAACAATCGACCAGGTGATTTCACCATGTCGGCTAGGTGAGACTTATTGGTTAACCATGTGGAACCTATTGGTTAGCCACATCGAGTTGATATGTCCTTTACGTGGAATCGAGGTGTCAACCATGTGGAGTTGACTTGTCAAATTATCTAACTACATTGTATTAGCCAAATGGCTCTGCCATGTTGGTCATTGGAGTCAAGATGTTAAGACGGAGGAGCTCACGTGCTAAGTGTGTGGTAGTAGCATATCATTTTCATTATACATGTCATTTTCATTTCATAATTAGTCATATTGGCAGCTGGCGTGCACTTTTACAGTAAGGAATATACTAACTAAAGCATTAACTTATTCCTTATGTACCATATACCTGTTGCAATAGTTAATGCACAAGGAAACAAATTGCATGTTCACCTAAAACTTTTCATTTGAAGCTTGATAATAATGTATCCATTTCATCCAGTAAATTATTCTAGGGATAATTGAACTAATCAACAAAAACAAAAGCTCAAGGATAATGAACTAAACCAAAGCTTAAGGTAATATATTTGTCTAGTAATGCCAAAGAAAGCGTTCTTTCTTAAAGCATTGTTAGCTTAACTTTTACTTTGTCATCGTCTTTTATCTTTAACATGACAAAAAAGATTAGAATAATTCATAGAAAGTAAAGTGAGCTTGAAGTGAATTTAAATAGTCTTATAGTGATAACTCATAAAGTAATTCGACTAGATGGTTCTTAAAATTGAATAAAGTAATTTCTGGCGCCCCTCTTCTTCTCAGACGCCGCCTGTCAGCTCGCTGCCGACGCCGTCGACGCCTGCTCGACCACCCCCGACGCTCGCCGCCTCTCCGTTCGCTGCCGCTGTCACCGACGTCGTCGCGGCCTCCTCCGACGCCTCTCCGCTCGCTGCCGGGGCTGCCGACGCCCGCTCGCCACCCCATTGTCCGCATCCAGTCTTTTCTCAGGCGAGCGAGCTGCCTCCCATTTCTTGCAATGTTTAAGCCACCTGCTTTCGGCCAGTCGCCTACTCTCGTTGGTAATACTGATATTTCCTTCTCCTCCCCTCTTTTCTTTTCAGACTTAGGATCACAGGAATTTCTTTGATTCTTATCAGACTTAGGGATCACAGTTACGGGTGTTAATAGGTACAATAAGAGTGTGTATAGGAGAAGAGTATAGAATGGAATTAAGAAGAAGAATGTAGACAGTAAGCCTGTTCCGATTTCCATTATTAAGTTGTTGAATATTGGAGTCAAAACAGGTTTTAGGAGGTATTTCAGGGTGTTTATAGCTCGGGGGAAGGAATCTTCGGAGCATATGGAATTTTTGACCAAACGGGTAGTGTTGCAATGCTCATATTCATGAGTGTTAGTTGATAATTTAGGACAAGGTATGCAATACCGTATCGTATCGGTGTTTCGAGGTTGGCTCGGTATGGTACGGTACCGGTGTATCGAACGGTACACCAGGGCGTACCGACCGGTATACCTTGGTGTATCGAATAATTTTATATATTTTCTTCATTATTGTAGCACTATAGCACTGTTATAGTATAACACTGTAGCACTGTTATAGTATAATACTGTAGCACTGTAGCAATATCAGACGGTCCGCGTACCGGTATGTCGTCGGAGCGATATGTACCGTTCATACCGGGCGGTACCATTCGGTATTGCATACCATGATTTAGGGTTTATTTTTCTTTTTCTAATGCTAACTTGCATCGGCTTCATTGTTATTTTGGGTTTTTTTTATCTTTGATCAAACCAACTAAAACAAGTTAGTCTATTACTGATCCATGCCGACCCATGTGTACAACTCATTTCTTACCATTTTAGGTGGTAGGAGAGGTGATACAATGAACCACCTCAAAATCAGTGTAAAAATTTTGAAATCTAGATAATTTTTTTTAGGTTTAAAGGAAGTGTTGATAGAAATTAAGTAATTAACAAAGGACAATGATCCGAATAAAGATGTGGAAGATGTACAAAAGAGTTATTGAAAATATTATGCTAGAAAGAGATAATGAAAACATAGTCAAGCTGAACATAAGTTTTTGCCAACCTTTTTTATTATTAGACCAAGTAAAATAAGAGCAGTTGCAACCAATATCTATTAAGCTCACAGAGGAAACCAAAACTGTCATGCAAGAACTCATATGAAAAAATGGGTTTGTTTCTTGGTTCAATATCTAAATTAGATACAAGATGATGTTGTCATTACTTGTTTATAATTTCAATGAATGATACATAAAATGTATTGAATTTTTTTATTATAATTTATTGCTAAAATAATAATTTTTTCCCTATCTAAAATTTTTGTATTATCTAATTCCAATCTTAAATTTCTATTAATTTTATAGAATATGGAAGTAAGAAAAGAGAATTTTCTTTAATCTGATGAGTTGTTATTTGTTAGTATTAGTAAGTTTGTCCCGTACACCCTTGCATAAATATAATATATAAATTGATAATTTTAATTTCTACTTCAAGTATTATCAGTAGTATGCATAGTTCTTTAATTATTATAATAGAAATATAATACTTTTAAGATCACTCTCTTAATCTTAGATCATCTTTGAGATGTGATGCTCAAGTGGTAGATGAGAGACTAATCAAATCATTGTAAATCCGAATAAAAACACAAAATAGTAAAATTATTATTCATTTGAATAAGAGATAATACTATTGAATCATGTATTCACCTTAATGCAAGGACAACTATTAACTTTAGAAGGTACATGAGTTATTAAATATTAACAAAAAATCATAGTACATTTTTACAAACATAAGCATATATTTTAGAATTAATTTTGTATAAATTATCGGATCTTATGATTCTACAATCCAATTGAACAATTTGAGTGTATGATCCTCTTTACATTCCTAAGTAGGAAAAGCAAGTCTATGATGCCCTTTACATTCCTAGGTACTATATATTTGTACAAATGATCCCATGTGGTAATTTGACGGGTAAATATTGATTGAACCGTATCAAATTGGATGAAATTGTATTCTTTGTTTGAAATTTTTTGGTCATTTTAGTATGAAAATGTATAAGATTAATTTTTATCTTATATTGCAGGTTCAATTCAGTTTAAGCCAATTCCACGAACAGCTACATTGGAATTTATTCCTTCAACAATTAAAGATAAAGAAGTTCAACGAGACACAAATATTCTGTTATACAACATTGTTGGTGGAATAGTTTTGCTGGTTTTATTTCTAATAGTATTTATTGTCATTGTCTTTGTACTTTTTGTCCCAAGAAGGAGTACAAACCAGGATCTCGAAGAATCTCAGAGACGTAGACCTATAAGACGAGATGTGCAAGAGATCGAGATGTTTTCAGTATCTTCTTACTCCACCTCAGAGTCTCACTCATTAATTGAAGATGTTGATAGTTGTCTAATATGTTTAGAAGGATTTACTCATAGAGAGAGAATTGTTAGATTATCATGTCAACATATCTTTCATGTTGCATGCATAAACAAGTGGTTTACAGTAAGGACAGTTTGTCCATTGTGTGTAAGAGACTATCACACTGTTGTAACTATTGATGATGAGACTTAGTCACGTTATTTAAAATATCAGCTTTATTTTGAGTCAAGTAAGCTTATCCCATTAACTTTGGTGTTATCTTTCATGCCAAATGCTTAATTATGCTCTTGATGACTTTTTCTTTTGATGCTAAAGTGCCCCATCATGAATACAGAGAGGGTTGCAGATCCATAAGGTATCATGAATTATCTTTTACCAGCGTTGATTGTGTCTTTAGATATGATTCTGTTGAGTGATAATATTTTCTGAAACAGGACTTTTCTTTACTGAGGGCTCTTACTGGTTAGTCATAAATAGGAGTGGATGAAAGCCCTTGCGAGTATGCTTGGGATTTTTATTTTTATTTTTATGAAAAAAATATAGAGTGATGTATATTTTTTTCTCTTATTCTTTGTCGGGATGACTTTTCTCCTTAAATTGGCCAAAGTGCAGAGAAAAAGGTCATATCCTGTCATTAATTCTGAACTTAGGCTTTTGAATCCATGTACATAGTCATCATTCTGCCATGTATCATAAAGATAGTGGGTTAAATGATTGTTTGGATCCAAAACTCTTGATAAGTTGATTATTTTGTAACATTCTGATATGATTATAGCCTAGCATCTAAGTTCACTTTTGCTGATTTCTTTTCTCCAAGTATTTCCTTAAACCATAGTTCTCATCTAGTCCAAAATTCAAAACAATATTTGTCGAAATTGCATTAGTAGAAGTTGGGCTGTATAAGTTACTGAACAACAAATTAAAAAATTAGAGGTGTCTAGATCTAAGTTATATTTTCTTTTTCTAGAACAACTTTTCGTTTTTGGAGTTAGATATTTTAGAGGCTGTGTGGTAGAAGCCTTAGGTGTCCAAAGAGATAGTATTTAATTAAACTAAGGCTATTTGATCAATTTCACCCTCAATCTGGTTTGGAAGGGTTGGATCTCTATATACTAGGTTAGACGAAGTTTTCACATTATGTCCAGTGTAATAAGCTCAATCTGGTGATATAATTTATAGGTCTAGGAATGGTCCTTGAAGATAACCTGTGCGTGGATCTTGTGCTTCAGTCCCTATCAGAAAGGGACTCTCCCTAAGCTCCTTAATATGTTGAGGAAGGCAGAAGACACTATCACGAAAGAGAAGCTAGTTTTCTATACTGGTGAGACTAGAAAGAAAAGGAAAGAAGAAAAATCACTTAAGAAGGATAAGGGTAAAAGCAAGGACAGACTAGGTAAAGCAAATGTTGCTAAGAAAGACCCGGCAAAGGACAAAGGCCAGTACTTCCACTACAGCAAAGATGTAGTAAATTATCTTATTTATTTTTGTTAGTTATCAATCTACTCTGACTTATCTAAGATTGGTGCTACCTGATTATTATGAAATCATTAGTGGTCATAGCCTGTAATTATTGCTTTTAAGTTAACATTTTGAAATCCTAGTTACATAGTTTACATCAAAACAAAAGGGCAAAGTTGCAAAGTGAATTTGTACTCCTAAAGACTTTTTTCCATGCTATTTTGAAGCTTTATTAATTTTGACACCATGACTCTGTTCTTTTAAAAATGGAAGTTCTATTCAGATATCATCTGTAAATTAGGAACGTTGTCTGGGAGCAAATGTAGCAAAGTCTTCTCCCCTTTGCAAAGAGAAACTCCCCTCTGCGATCAAGTGAGGTGCTCTATTGATGCGATCAAGTGAGGTGCTCTATTGACTGACGGCCGGACTTCACAACATATATGCCACAAAGACTCATTGGGACCATCGATATGATTGATAACTTCCAATGCATCAGTCTTGACCCAAAATGTGATGGATGTCTTCCCTTTCTTTCTCTCAAAAGGCCTTGGAGAATAGTTTCACATTTAACATGAAGGGCATTGTGGTTTCTCGATGTAAGTACATCATTGTTGGCATACAATTGAACACATGAATGAGTTCTCTCATGTTTCAGTTTGATTACTTTTTGTCAGTAGACATAAGACATTCAGCTTATTTCAGGTAGATCTGAAATGTTGATTTTCTAGCTCATTTTATCTTACTCATGTATAACTTTCATAGATCGTAGTTGACAGAAAAATCAAGAGTATACCAGATATGAGGATGGGTGGTATGATTCCTTCAAAAAGCAAGCAAACCTTGATTTTATATGCAACTATGAATGGACAAAGCTACATTTTCTTCACATGTAAAAAAAGCAAACTCTATTGCATATATTTCTCAGATTTTTGTTAAGTTTGCGTAGAAATAATTTAATTTTGTTTTTTTGGAGTATCTCAGTATTGCATTCTTGACAGATGTTGTTGAATGTCCAACTTTTATTCACTATTAACCATTTTCTTGCAGGTCTTCTAGGGTTCCCTCTGTTTCTCTTTTAGTATTCTGTGGACTTGATACTATTCACTGAAATATATGGGCCAATGGTGCTCATAGGTCTTTGTTAGTTTTAGGTGTAGAGTAACATTTAGGTATTAGTCTCTTTTTTCACTGAAAAACAATATTAGAGGCACCAAAAATTTTGGGCTATATTGGCCATTGAAAGTTGTTATGATAATATCTATTTATCCAAAAAGAAAAAGCTAGTGATAAGGAGTAAGAATTGTTATAGAACGTGTTAGTAGAAATAAATTAATTGTCATTTTAAATTATGAGTCAGTTTATATAAAAAATTGTTAATTTATACATGTGACAATTCTATTCTTTTATGACAACCTTGGATTGTAGAAATTTTAGCTTTGGTGGGACTAAATTGGGTGTCTGTGGCATCTTAATTTCATATCAGAATCATTGATTTGCTTGCTGCTTTTGCTGCAATTTCTAAATAAGATGTAAGACCGTAACAAAAGCTTATGGAATCCAGTTTATGATAATTGATACAATTAGTTTTCATCTTTTCCTTTTGTTATGTGTTCATGGTGCCCCTCAGACTGTAAAAGTTTTTGGATGTATCCTGCTATTATCTCCATGATTCCTCACCATTTTTTTTTTGTCTTCTCTTTCTTCTATTTTATACCAATACAAAATATTTTTTGCTGCATATATTGTCTGGAAATATGATAAAACAAAATATGGTTTTTCCTTTCTTTCATATGTATAGGTATATGCAGATGAGCAAATCTTTGGTAAATTGATTCTGTACTAAGTAATCACATGCATGGTTTTAACGCACCATCCTAAAGCAGCCATGCAGTTATAGTATAGCTACTTCTGAATTTAAAAGAATTGGAGTACAACACAGCAAGTTGAAATGAATCACAAGACTGGAAGTGTCAGGTGTGGATTCTGATGAGCTGCTTTATAATTTACTAAAGAAGTTGTTTATGTTTTGTCTGTACCAAGTTGAATCGGAGTACAACACAGCAAGTTGAAAAGAATCACAAGACTGGAAGTGTCAGGTGTGGAATTCTGATGAGCTGCTTTATAATTTACTATAGAAGTTATTTATGTTTTGTCTGTACCAAGGTTTGAAATATCGTATCGT